GAATATGTTGATATGGCAGCTTGTGAGCATGGTAGGAAAGCAGAGCCTTTCACCACAGGTTTCTGCCATTCTTCCTGAGGGAGTGGGATCTGGGGATGGGGTATGGATCCTTAGCAGCGTCTGCTGTCAAATGAGGATTTGCTTTGATTTGATGCTCAGCTACTGGATTTTGTTTTCCCTTTATTTTCTACAGGAGGGAGTCTTCTACCGCCAGAAATCCTCTCTCCAGTCTGGTACTTGCAGATGGATTTACCACGTTACATCACATTGTGGAAGGAGAACAAAAAATTGCACTGAGCCTCTTTTACTGACTCTCACTCCAGCCAGTGCCTGGCTCCAGCGAGGACTGTGCAGATTTCTCCTGTACTGCAAAAAAGGAACATAGCAAATTAAGGTCTTTGCATGCCAGCTTTGTTATCATAAACACTTGTGGTGGATATGCAGATACATTTTTAATAGGGGGTAATATTTCAGATGGCAAGAGGATCAAAGCACAGAGCACACTTAGGTCAAAGTAATTTAACTCTAGTCTTGCCTAATTGTTATTGTGACCCAGACTGGCAGAACTGAGATAATTAAAGCCTGATCATGAACTATCCTCTTATCCTCATTACGGTTCCACACACCAAATATCATGCCAGAACTCCTAGCTGACATTTTCTCCAAGAAGACATTTTTAGGCATCATAATGTGTGAAGGCTGCCAGCAGGGCAGTCTATCACTTCTACCTCACATCAAAAGGATGTGCACCCTGTTGGAGGAAAAAAATAAAGCTAGTATAAGAAACAAAGCTCTAGCAAGGAAGGTTAATGTGTGCACCTTACAACTCTGAAGATCAAGGTTCAAAACTGGGAAAAAGAGAATGCAGCCTGCACTTCCAGCCTTTTTTCTTGCCCCTGAATGAAACAAGAATCTTTGGGAAAACTTCTGAAAAATACTTTCATCTCTGCCCCTCATAAATGCAATTGGCCTCCGTTTCTCTTCCTGGGCTCAGATGCACACAGCCTTAGCTCTAACCTTGTAATTGCCACCACTCTTTCCATGTGCTGCTTTTCCACTTCTGACTGCACCTTTCACATTGCCAATGCTGAAATGTCAGGTGCAAGACATGAAATATACTTGAGTGAAGATGGCATAAAAAAACGTGAAGAGATGAAACTTTAAGAGGTGTAAAGCGTGTTCCTTAAATAGCAAGATCCTTTGTTTCACAGCTCTATTTCCTGATGGTAAGCAATTTTTGAAATTACAAGCAGGGCAATATCAAATTGGTATGAAACATTCATGACTGTAACTAAAATCAGTGATGTATCTTCGGCCGATGCATGTTTGAGAAGATTGCCAGGGCTTTTTAACGGGGCTGGTGCTGTCATGGTCGAGCATGCAGCTTACTCGGTTTGACAACCCCTGCTGGGCCTCGGCCAAGTGCTGTATTTAAATCCCAAGTTCTCCACGGCTTCCCTGGTCAGAAACACAGAGTGCATTTTTGAGATGGGAAACCTTCATCGTGCAGGACATGGATACAGACACCACTTCTGAGCTGGCAGAAGCTGTGAGACTGGCAAACTGCAAAAAGAAGATGAGCAAAGGGGTGTACATGCATACACATTTGTGTCTGAGGAAGGGAGAAGGAGGGGGAGCATGTGTGCAAGAGAAAGCTGCTAAAGGGCAGAGAGCAGTTGGGGAATCGGGAAGAAAAGACTGCAAGGAGGGAGCTCTGAGGAGGCTGAGGACGTAGCAGAAGTAAATTTCCTGATTTATAGGTACTAACACATAGAAGTGTGTATAGGTTGGAGGGAGAGACTGCTGCAGGAGAAGTTCACAGGTCAGGAGGCTGGCAAGAAAAAAAATCGAATAAACACCTGAGGTCTATTGCAGAACAGCACCCGAGGTTTGCTCCTCACTGCTCAAGTCCCCATTTAGAAAACAAGTGCAGATGAGTTTAGTGGTCTCACCTTGGTACATCCTGGTACTTGAGGCACCACACAACTGGATGGATTTTGCACGCAATAGCTTTCATTGAAGAAAAATCTGGATCGTAATGATGTAACGGTGCAGATACAAGTCCCCATTGAAGGGTGTCAAGAGGAACTGCTGCAGAGTAATTTGCCTGTTTTCCCTGTTGGTAGCTAATAAAACCCCTCATCCCCAGCAATATCAAATTTACTCCAATTAAAAATCTGCTTCTCTATGACAACAGACTATTTCTCCTCGTTCCACTTCAAAAAGTATTAATTATGTAACATCATGTTTTACAAATATTTTTTTTTCTTCCATATAAATGCGGCATTAAAGTACTATAACGTCGAGTAAACAACTGTTTTGCAGTATAAGGAAGTTTGTTTTCTATACTCTGAGAAAGAAGTTGCATCAGTGTTGTGTAAGTAGGTCAGTGACAATTCTTTATGTATTTCTTAAATTCACATGGACTCTCCAGGTTCCGGCATAGGAATGCAGGGCTAAAGCTACTGTGAATAAAATATTCATGTTTTTCTTTAAAAATAAATAGACCCAGATAAGCTGCAGTAAGAGAGGTAATGCTTTCCCAGGGCAGGATTGTCATCGGCACACTTTAAGAGCCTAACTTCCTTCAGTTTATTAGCATATAATTAATATTAGTATAATTAATATGAGATTCCCTTTGCAATGAAATCATTCATGAATTTGGGACTTGCAACACATGCCTTAACTTTCCATTTGTCATAAAAATTGTTGTGAATATCAGCCATTAGTCAGAAGACCTACTTTTTTTTTTTTTTTTAGATCTAGTAGAGGTTTTGGTGGGAAGGAGTCAACACCATGATACCCATTTCACATGAAAATCTCACTGCAGTTGGAACATTTATGCCCAGAAGACTTCTATAAGCCAGCTGTATTACAGAACTTGTGTTACACAGTGTGCTCCCACATGTGTTCCCGAAGGAAGGAAGGAAGGAAGGAAGGAAGGAAGGAAGGAAGGAAGGAAGGAAGGAAGGAAGGAAGGAAGGAGAGAGATATGTCAAAGACATCTAGGTTCTGGAGAGCCTTGAAACCTGCTGAGAGCCTTACAGGTTAATATCTGGAATAGACTGCTTTGGTGAGAGACCTGCCTTAATATAGAAAGCTCTGGATTATTGTGCTTTCACCACTACGTTATTCTTATGTAGATGCTCTACCATTTTCTTAGGTCTGTCACCCTTTGCTATGCATGGGATAGATTACAGTGAGCCTCGATGTGACGCATATGTAGATCTCTTGGCTAAAAGATATGGTTTTCATAAAAGGGAAGAGCCAACTAAAGTTTTAGCTACATATTTGAAAGATCTAATCATCAATATCATGTTCCTCCTGTTGGTAGAAAGTCTCTTTCTGCTGTTCACTGAGTTGTTGGTTAGCTGAATTATGTCACTACTGACATCTCACACACAAACACACCTCTGTGTATGTCTATAATGTCTGCCCTGGGCTCCATGTAGAGAATGGGGAGCAGACAAAGCAGGTTGGATGGCAATTTGAGTGATTTTTCATGTATGTGACACAACGATGAGTGGCCACTCCCTGGGGATCTCTTGAGAGAGAAATGGGTTATCACAGGGGCGGGCTCCACCTGATTTACACTCTTATGCCTCTGTGGCAGCTCCAGCTGATGGAAATTGTTGGTGACTGCCTGCATACACAAGAATTAAATGTAGGTGTTTGCCCCTCTTGTTTTGTTCGCTTCCACATCTGACTCAGCTGCCTGTGAGGTTCATTATGCACCATTATTGCTCTAGATTTTGAATCCCTTTCTTAAATTAATTGCTTCTGGTTCAGTTATCTGTAACCAATGTGATTGAAATAGCATGAAAACAATCACTGGTGTGTGGTCGTTGTCCATTAACTCCCACAGCAAAACCCTTCTTCCCCCAGCCTGCTTGTACAGCTAGTGGATTACATGAGTTCAGGGGCATGGTGTGACTTTGCCAAGGGGCCAGAGAAGATGTGTTGGTGTAGCAGAGGGGTTTGCCTGGCCAGGACATCACCACCTCCTCTACTGCCTCCACCACCTGGAGGGGAAGCCTGGAGCTCTCCAAGGGTGGCACAGGAGAGAGGACACACTGGAGCTGTGCCCAATGCCCTGGCTGTGGGCTTGGCTTGAGGGATGGAGTTCATTCTTCTGCCCTCATCTTTAGACAATCCTCTCTCTTATTTATTTATTTTTTCTTCTAGGAGAGAAGGTGTTTGCTTTTCATGTTGCTTAGGATCTGGGTTGGTTAATCTGGCCCAGAAAGGAGATTCACCATTGCCTCCCACGGTGATGAAAAAAAAAAAAAAGAATATGGAGGAAAACACCTCTCTTAGTCCTTGGAATTAGTATTCAGAAAGATTTGTAAGGATCATTTCTAAAGATTTTATTATTTGTAAAGACCATAAGAGATGAATTTGGGGGGAGGCCAACAGACGCCACAGGAAATCACGTATAAATCAGGGTCTTACTGGCGTGTATGCAAAGCTGGCAAAAATTAAAAAAAAATCGATTCCTTGTTCTGCAGAACGCGGCCAACGGGCAGCAGGGCGTTAGCATGGAGCATCAGGAGCCCTTACGAACGGGAAGGTAAGCCCGAGGCTGCCCTGGGCCCCCGTTACACCCAGTGAGGCTCAGAAACGCCACTTGCCGGGGGAAGGGGAGCTGCCGGCTTGCAGGGAGGTGATGCCAAGCCGTCCTTCAGGACGGGGCGGCCGGCACCCCAGCGCTCAAAGTCCCGATTTCTCCCCGTTTCACCCCCGACTTTATTTTCCCGGGATCAGCCCCGGCTTTCTCCCGTCTCGGGATGACTCCGGCGGGAGGGGAGGGGGCGACAACAAATCAAGGGGAAAGGGGGAACCCAGAGGGCTGCCTGCCGCCCCCTTGCATCCCGGGGGCTCCGGCGGCTCCCTGCGGGCGAGGCGGCGCCGCCCCCGGCCCGGCCCGGCCCGGCCCGGCGGTGGGCGGTGGGCGGTGGGCGGCTCCCGCGGCCTCGCCATAAACCGGCGGCCCCTCCCGCCGGCCTCCGTGCTCCCGCTGGACGGCGGGGAGCGGAGCGGTGCTCCCGGGGGGGGCTCGCCGGGAGGAGGCTGCTGCAGGAGCAGCGGGAGCATCCCCAGCCGGGAGGGAAGGGGAGGCTGCGGGGCACGACCTGAAGCTGCCTCTCCGCCCCGGTGGTCGGAAGCCCACCCGGAGGAGAGAGGAGGAGAAGGGGGGGGGCTGCGCTGCCCGGCCCGGCCCCCCCGCCACCGCCTTTGTGTGCTCCGGCCGGCCGCCGTGATGCGCGCTGCGGGGCGGCGGGGGGTCCGCTCCTCCCGGTGAGAGGCGGGGAGGCAGCCAGCCTCTGCCCCCCTCCCCGGAGCCTTTTTTTATTAGTATTTTGTATTCTTTTTATTTTGGAAAGGGGGGGTGGGCTATGGACTGAGCGCTGCGCTGTGCCATGGAGTCCGGCAGCGGCTTCGGCACGCTCTGCCTTCTGCTCTGCCTGGGGCCAGGTAAGGTGCGGGGCTCCGGGGGAAGGGGCACGGAGGAAGGGGGGGGGGGGGTGCGGAAAGTTGCGGCGGGGTTAACGGCACTTTTTGTGGGGCAGTTGCAGGCTTTGGCGTGGACCCCTCGCTGCAGATCGACGTGCTGGCCGAGCTGCGGCTGCCGGGCTCGGCGGCGGGCGTGCGGCAGGTGCCGGGGCTGCACAACGGGAGCAAAGCCTTCCTCTTCCCAGGTACGGCCCCGAGCGGCTCCCCCAGCACCCCCTCCTCTTCCTCCTTCCCCCACAGCCCGCTTTTCCTCCTTTCAGTCCCCCTCTTTTTAATCCTTCGTCTGGTAGACGCTTAATTAAAGTACAGCAGGACCGGGGATGGCAGATGGCTGCTTGTGCGAGCCGTGGGGTGCGGTGATGAATAACAGCACCACCCACTCCTCGGCTCTACTTGGGAACCGCCGAACATGCCCCCGGTCCTGCCAAGGCAACGCTCGCTCAAAGTTTCCCGTGAATCCGGCAAAATGCTGCAGCCGGAGTGCCCCAGAGGAGCGAGGCAGATGGTGAAAAATACCGCTTTTTACTGATGAAAGTGGCCTTTGTGAGCTCCGGTGCCATGCCCGCTGCGAGAAACAAAGGCTGAGTTTGGGCTTTTCAGAGTGCCTGTGATTTTTTTTTTTCTATTCCTAAATAAATAAATAAATTTTTAAAAAAAGAAAAGGTAGTCTTGTTCCACTTCTCAAAAATACAGATACACTTATTTCAAGATACTTAGACTTTCTAATATTGTGAGTCACACAGATCTATAAAATAATTCTCAAAGGACAGCTGAATTTGTTGGCACAGGTTGCATCGCCTACACTTGCTCATCTTCAGTGTATTTTTGAGTTATGCTTTAATAATGTACCGATATCTTAAGTGAAGCTGGAGTCCTGAACATTTTCAGGAAAAATTTCTTCTTCATCTGAAAAAAAAAAAAGCCTAAAAATAGCCTTTAAAAGCACATGGAAGATGATGAAATGCTCTTCAGAAACCTGACTAGAGAAGAGCAAGGGAATATAGCTCAACATCTGGTGGAGCAAGAGGAAATCTCTGCAGCAGCCCATAGTTTTCAGATAGAGGGACTTGGTTGTTGAAACTCCTGGCATGACAAGAAGCCAGCTCTGGTCTGAAAGAATTTCTGGTGCAACAGGCAGGAAGCTGTTTCCCATGCAGAAGAGTTATAATTTAAGGGAGATGAGATCTGGAAAGGGAACTTCTCTTTCATGGTTGCTTTAATGAGATAATTTATTAGAAGCTAATAGTTGCCAGGGGCTTTTTTTGAGGTGATCTCTATAGCGGTGTCCTTCCCTGGTACAGCCAGCATGTGTCACTATGGACACTAATGTGGAGACGTGCACGCTGTGCGCTCTGAAGCACTGACACACGCTGCTTTTATTAAATGTCAGGGGTGGGCTTGCAGCTTCAGAACAGCCTTCTGTGAGAGGGTGACTGTGGGGAATGGCAACACGTTTGTATGGCTGCGTGCTTCCTAGTAAAATAGCTGGATTCTTGAGGTGCTTAAGGTACAGTGGTGCTCAGAGATGAGGTCCCTCTGTGTTACGATGCAGTGTGAAGGTGAGGAGTGAGACCTCCCTATGACTTCAACTTTAATAGCAGTAGGGGTTTGTAAGCATAACTCTATTATGTACTTTCCCCAGTGTTGGGACAAAAAGATTGCTGGGTTACTAAAGAATCTTTCAAGTTATTCCCTCTTGCTTTGTAACTATGTGAATATGCAGTTCCCAAGGAGGCTGCTAATTTAGCTGTAACAAAAGCAGACAAACGTTTTTTTTTTTTTTTTTTTTTTTTTTTCTTCCATGCCAACCTTGTATTTTGTTTAAAGGAATCAGGAATAAAACAGACACGAACACTTGGGTCTACGTAGTGGTTAACTCGGCATCCTTCGGTGCCCTAAAGGATTGAGTATACTTCTCCTGTTACTACATAAAACTCCTGATTTTCTTATAGGAAATGGACTCCTTAGTGGGCAGGCAGTGTCATTTTTCTAACTTGCTTTTAGAAATACAGACATTGCCCTACTCAGTCATGCCACTGGTCCATGTAGTCATTTTTGTTCTGTTCTTAGTGTTAACACCATGGGAACATTGCTGCAGCGTGTGCCTCTTAATGTATGTATTTACAGTGTCTGAATTTGAAATACATATTCTTGCTGGCTTCGGATTTGTTTTTTTGCCTGTGTGTTTTTCCTTACTTATACGAAAGCTGTAGTCCTAAACCCAAATAATTTGGGGGAAGGAAACATGACTTTAAATCTATGAACTTACTCTCAGAGCTTTAACTTCTGGTCCTTGTCCTTCTGATTTCTTCAGAAGATGAATAGTCTATTGCACAACATACATTCTTGTCATTTTAGTGTGTTGTCTTTTCGATAGACTGGTGTAAAGCCTCACTTTATATATGCTTAAAATATACAAAAAGCCCAAACACTGTTCTTCATTTTAGAAAGAAATTATGAAAGTGGAGGTTGAACTGAACAGGCATATAGGGATTATATGGTGGGGAAATTGTACATACAGCTAAAGCAGAATGGTCTCTCTTCCATTTTTAGGTGAAAAGACAGCTTTTATTGCTTAATTGAATGCAGCATTGATTTACAATACAAGGGGTTTTTATCATCTAATTGGCTACACTGATAAATTCTCCTTTCCGTAAGAGATTTTTAAAGGAATTTATATCTCTAGATCATATAACACAGTATACAGCTGCCATGCATTGTTTTTTTCTGTTACCAGTCTATTCAAGAGCAGTTAGATTCCTCCTTAACAGTTACTGATTTAGAAGCAATTCAAACCATTTGCAATTTTTGTTCACTTGGACTTTCCTTTCATGTATCAGTCTGATCTCTTGCTATACACACCCTGTAGAAAGCATAAGACTTATGAAACAGAACTCTTCCCACTGGCTTCATCAGGATTAAATGCTTAGTCATGATTTTAAAGCTTTTTAGGTTTCTGATGTTGCTTGGTTGTAGTGGCTTGGTAGCACCTGAATGCCAATGCAATCTGTCCCTGTATAGCTGCAGGGACTTTATTTTTCTGTAGGAAAGTGATTTACAAAGTAGTTGTAAAATGTTCCAGTGTAGCTCGTGGGAAGATGGAATTATGAATAGAAAACAGGAGGAAGTCTTCAAAAAAAATGTTAGTGTTGCTATATATGAACATCTGCCAGCACTTCCTAGCCAAAAGCAGCTATTATGAAGTCAAAATATGTTGAGAGGAAAATTATTTCTTTTCTGGTCAGAGCACAGAAGTCAGAGATCTGCACCACAAACTTCTCTGTTGGTGCCTGTTTATGTATTACAGTGAAGTTTTCAATACCTTAGTTATCCCTTTGAAAAATGGGGATGACATTTAAGGTAAAGCCCAAAGCAAATGAGTGGATTGGAGTATAATTAATGTGTTTGAAAAAGGCTTTGAAATCCTTTTGGAGAAATCCTAATTGTCATTTTTACAACTTTCTTTGTAAATGACATCAATACAATCTGAGGTGATAAGTGGGGATTGAGGTAAATGTTGCCATTTTCCTATGCAAATATGCAAATCATATTGCTGCAAGACCACTTGAGCATGTGAACACTTGATGAGGCAGACAGAGGTATCACCAATAGAGGCTGGATAGTGTAGAGAGTTTTGGGTATGTCAGACATATCTGACTTCAGTAGGTTTCCTGAGCATAGGCTTCACTTCAAGCACATGTAAGGCCCGATGAAGCCAGGCATTTCAACTAACAATGGAAAATGTTTTCGGATGTGAGAATCTAAAGGCTGCCAGAGTAACTTTGTTTCCTTCTGGCAGTCCTCTAAGCAGAGACTTTGGCACCTTCTCCCCTCCATTAGGCTCTGTATTGTTATTATATCTTATATAATACTTTGATAGTGTTTCTGGGTCCCACCTGAACTGCTGTAATTCAATGTTACACATCAAGCTATTGTCCAATGCACTAACGGAGACATCTTTCAGTCACCTCTAGCAGTAGTGGAAAGTGGTGGAAGGTACATAGTAAATCAAGTGAAAAGGGGCACAAAGAGTGAAAATGAGAGCTAAGTGATATGTAAGGAACATATATATCCATGAAAAGGTGTATGTGTTCCTCAAAGAGGAGAATAAAGGGTGGTCAGAACACTGCAGTTGGGTGATTACAGACAGGAACATTTATTTAAGGAAAACATAAAAAGGGCATGACTGTCAAAAATGTGGCAGCTTGTATATCTGAATACATGACGTGGAACTCACTCGGAATGTGTTTTCTTCTTTACTGGTTAGGATATGTAACTTATATGTTTATAAGCAGCATTCAACTATTCTTGTAATACATTCAGCTGTATTGTAGGTTATGGGGGGAGGGGAGTGATATGCTTTAAAACACCAAAGAAATAACTTTAATGTCTGTGTGATGCAATGAAAAGGACTTAATGCCACTGTTTTTTGAACTGGGTCTTGTTGGCACAGACTGTGGGGAGAGAAGGAGGAGAAGAACCCTAAAATACACCTCTTGGTGTAAGTAGTTCATTGCTGTGTGATTGGATCACTATTTAAAAATGGCCTACTATTTAAAAATGTGAGCAAAATATGAAATAGAACTGTATACACACATCTTCTCTCTCTGGAAAGTACAATTTTTTTTTTTTTTTTTTGGCCTATGGTGTCATCTCTGAACGTTACTAAAGGAGCTAAAAATAAAGCTTCAGAACTAGAGGCGAGTAAACTTTCTGTCATTACAGAAATAGGATTTAGGTTAGCTATGCACTTCACACATGCTTTTTTCCTTGCCACCTGCCACTGGAACCATGGACAGATGCTCTCTTCTAGTTCCAGCTGAGTGTGCTGAAAATATTACTGTTTCCAGCTGCTTGTCAGTGTTCAGGAGCTAGGGGTTACTGTCCCCACAACTTTTCCAATGCAAGAGATCATATGAGCATCCCTTAATCTGCTGATGGCAAAGTTGGCCAGTTTCAGGAGCTAACTGGGCTGACTGCAGTAACATGGAATAGAGATTCCTGTTTAAAAAAAAAAAAATCTTTCTCCAGCTGTCCTAGAGACCCAAATCAACTCTCAGAGGAGCAGGAACAGAGCTGGGGGAGGGAATGTTAATGTTGCCAACTGGCAGGGCTGACTGCAGAGCGAATACCTGTCTGCAGCTTTTCTGTCTTGGAGCAATCTGGTTTCTCTTTCAGTCGTCAA